CAACTGATGAATTTGGACTACATTCTTCTTGGACCACAGCACGGCTTTGTAGTTATGTGCCATAGAGTTGATCGTGATTCACAGCCACCCTATGAACAATAGTTCTGAACCCTGCCCTCATTTCCGACACACCTCACCACACTGCCACGGTCACTGTGTCAACACATCTCATCTAATATCTTCCTCTCCTGTGCTGTCCCGCCACCCTTCCAAGCATGATGTCCTTCTCCAAGGACTGGTCCCTCCTGGTAACATGCCCAAAGTATGTGAGATGAAGCTTCAAAATCCTGGTTTCATCTTCTCTAGGACAGACTTGTTTGCTCTCTTGGCAGTCCACGGTATGTATGCTCAATACTCTTCTCTAACACCACAACTCAAAGGCATTTCTTTTTCTTCTGTCATTCTTAGCAATTGTCCAGCTCTGGGATGCATTGCAAAGGAACTGAAAAGACCATGGGCTGAAACAGGTGCACCTTAGTCTCTAGGCTGACACCATCGCTCTTTAGCACTCTGGAGAGGTTCCTGACAGTTGACTTTCTGAAGAAAGTTGCTTTCAAACAACTCATCTTTCGATTTCCTGGCTGCTGGTGTCAAGAGTGTTGACTGCATATCATGAAATTGTCAATAACCTCAATCTTTTCTCCATCTATCATAATGCTGCCAATTGGCCTGATGGGGAGAATCTTTATTTTCTTGTTGAGAGGCAATCCATGTTGAAGAGTACAGTCCTTGACATTCTTTATGCAGCAAATACTTTAAGTCCTCTTCAGTTTCAAGGAGCATGGTTGTGTCATCTGCATAACTCAAGTTGTGATGGGTCTTCCTTCAATCCTGACGCTATTCTTCTTTATAAAATCCAGCTTCTGGAATTATCTGTTCTGCATATAGATTGAAAAGGTATAGAGAAAGGATATATCTCTGATGCACTCCTTTCTTGATTTTGTACCATGCAGTATTTCCTTGCTCTGACAACAGCTTCCTGGTCTAGATACAGGGTTTGCATGAGCACAATCAAGGGTTCAGGGTTCCCATTCTTTTCAATGTTAGCCAAAATTTGTTGTGATCCACATAATCAAAATGCCCTTTCAAGAAAACACAAATAGACATCCTTCCGGAACTCTCCGTTTTCAACCAAGATCCACTGGCAATGATGGCCCTAGTGGTACAGCCTCTTCTCAACTCAGCTTGTATTTCTGACAGTTCTCTGTCGATGTACTAGTCAAGTTGTTTTGGGATAATGTGCAGTAAGATTTTGCTTGCTTGTGATACTAGCAATAGTGTTTTATAATTTCCATACACTGCTGGATCACCTTTTTTAGGGAATAGGAATAAATATGGATCTCCTCTGGTCAGTTGGCCAAATAGCTGTTCTCCAGATTGCTTTGCAAAACCTGAGAAGTACATCCATGCTGCATTTGTTTGTTGAAGCATGTCAACTGGTATTTTATCAATTCCTGGACCCATTTTTGCCAATTTTTTTCAGAGCAGCTTGAACTTCCTCCTTTATTAGCATTGCTTCTTGATCATATGCCAGTAAATTTAGAGGTAAGGAACTGCACTTCCCACACAAAAGCTCATATTTCCAATCCACTCGCTTCTCCACAGAAGAGTGGCAGTCTTTTCTTTTTAGATTTACTGCCTCTGAAACTTGCTGGAGGATCAGCTTTGGTTTGCTTCCAACTTTACAGCACACAACAACAATCCAAGAAAGGTACTCCAGAGTACACAAAACATTCTCCAGAACAGATTATATAGTAGATCACAAAGCAAGCCTCAATAAATAAATTTTAAAAATCAAAATACTACAAAGCATTTCTTCTGATCACAATACTATAAAATCAGAAATCAGCAACAGGAACATCAAAGGAAAAAGTAGAAGAAATAATAAATAATTTTTTTTATTTCATTAAACAAATGAGAATGAAAATACAGCAAGGAAACATTAAAAATTCTCTTCATAGATGTATGTATATCAATAAATACACACATCCTAAAAAACCAAAATCTTAAAGTCAATGGCTGGTATGGCGCTCTTACTTTTATCCCAGAGTGACCCCAACTGGGAGGTAGACTGGCCAGCAATGCACCCCCCAAACTGTCCTGAACTTGGAGCTCTCCTCTCCAGCACTTCATCCTACACCAAATAGGAAGGGAAGGCCTTTGTGTAGTCAAACTGATTTCTGCAACATGCCTTGGAGGGAGACCAAATTTGACGGGGGGTGGGGGGGGGTGGGAGGGAGTTGGGAGGGCAGGGAGGAGAGTTGATCAGATGCAGCCCTTTGCCCAAGAGGCTTGCTTGTCCCATGGGGAGGAAAGATGTTCCCTCCACACATAATCTGGGGAGGTCAGGCCTCTGGTGAGACTGCACTAGGAACACCAACGTTCCCCAGGCAGAGCCACCTCCCCCTTTGTGGGACTAAAGAAGTTCTTCTGAGCTACCCCTTTTAAAAAGGCGTAGATTTGCCAGGCCAAGGATAGCTCTTCTCAGTGTCTGGTTTGGTCCCAGGATGTCTGTTCCTGAGTATTGGGGGCTGAACTCCAGCAACTAGGTCTTCTCCAAATCCCAACCGGAGCCTTTCTATTTACCAGCTACTTCAATCCCAAAATTTGAATCTGCAGCCCTTCCCAGAGGCACTCTGCCTTGCTCCCTTATGTGCCTTTCCTGGGGTTCAGTGACTCCAGCAGTGAAAAGGTGTGTGTGCCTGTGCATGGACGAGCAAGCCTCTGTCCACCAAACGGATCAGGTGCTCAAAGCTGTAAATCAAAGTAGTAAGCTTTATTTAAAAAAAGAACCAAAATCAAATCTTTATCCAATATCCGACAATATGAAAAAGAACACCAAGAAAATTCTACAGCCTCCAGATGAAATAAAATAATAAAATAAAACAAAAAATAAATGAAAAGGAAAACAATAGAAAGAACCAGAAAAAAAAGAGAAATTGGTTCTTTGAAAGGAATCAACAAGTCCTTTTCAAATCTAACAAAGGAAAAGAAGATGCAAATACGCAAAAAAGGAATGAAATAAATAATGTCACACAGAACTAACTGAAGTAAAACATGTAATGGAATAAGAACTATACTACAAAGCAAATTTAAAACCTAGAGGAAATTGACAGTTTTAGAAACTCACTACCCACTTAAACTAACCCAGAGACTGAGAAATTAAACAGGTGATTTTTTAAAAAATAAAACTGGCCCAAGTAGCCTCACTGGCAAATTCTACCAAACATTCAAAAAAGACTTTATACAAACCCCACTCAAATTATCTCAGAATACAGAAAACTATATACTACCCTTAAACCTATTCTATGAAGTAGGCATAACCCTGAAACAAAGCCAAGCAGAAGCACCAACCATTCAAAAATTATAGGTTAATATCCCTCGTGACTACAAACGCAAAAGTTCACAGCAAAAATCCTAACCAACAGAATCCAATTTATATATTTTTTTAAAATTATCAACGCAGCATGCAGGAGCAATGATTCTCATTCTCACCAAGAAAGAACAAAAAGAAAGCCTTCCTTTTAAGCTACGGTTTCTGCTTTCATTGCCAAATAAATATATACTTTTATGAAAAGAGATAATTTATGCTGGAAAATTAAATGCACTGATTATCATTTCAGAGCATAAACTTCATATGACAAAAAACTATCACATGCTTGGTGTTAAGGGATACAGCAATGAACAATAATCCTTATAATCCGAAGATTTGGGGCATCGAAACATCTATCTCATTCAGCAAATAAATAAATCTAGAGCCAAAGACGTGTTTTGCCCATGAATGCACACCTCATCAGAGGGAGAACGAGGCAAAACAAGAACTCAAGTCTCTGAACTCTCACAGCAAACTGAACTGACAACATAACTTGACTGGCTTGCTCTGACTCTATGCTGCATCCACAGGTCCACAAGACAATCGTTGCTCCATTTCTAGGACGTGCATTCTGCAGAAAACACTAATGATGAAGTAAAATGTGCCCCACCATATTTTATTTATCATTATCTCTACTGAGACAAAGATCTTATTTTCCATGAGTGATCGTAATACTAATAAGCACTCTGTGCTAAATGAAAGGTTGATGTGCTTCTGAAAGCTTCCAAGTCATGAAAACTCGATGGTGCAGCTCAACCGTGTGACACAAGAGGTCGCTGTAAGTCCCAACCGACTGGACAGTTGAAGAGTGTGCCTATGCTAACAGATCTACACACAGGCTGGCTAATATTCTATTAGATGCTAACAGATCTACACACAGGCTGGCTACTACTCTAATAGGAGAGCAGGTGTGCACTCTGGCAGGGAGTGTTGATTACCTACCACTGTATCCTTAAGGGGGGATGGATTAGGATCCTTTATAAAATAAATGGGAAAACCTATGCAAAATTCATGAAACGTTCGTAAGTGAAAGGTTTCTCTACTCGTGAGCCGTCGCCATAGCGCGGCGAGCTCAGGGCGCAGTTCCTCGCTCCAGCCCACGCGGGGCCGGGGACGGGGGAATGGCGCTGGCGCCTCCCGCTCAAGTTCAAGTCTCCCACGCCCGCCGCCGCCGCCCGGCGCGCCCGGGCTTCCAAGGGCTTGCGGCGCCCGGAGCCCGCAGGTAACCTTTGCCCCCGGTCACGCCCGCAGCCAAAACCACCCACAGCCAAGCAGCCGGCGCCGCGCCGAGCGAGCCAGGCCTGAGGCGCGTCCTCGAGACCCCGAGTTGGGGCCGGGCGGCCACTACGGGGCGGGGCCGCAGTTCCGGGGGTCAGAAGCACCACGGTGGCCACACCCACCGGCTGCGCGGTGACAGCTCCCGCGGCCGAGGCGATCCGCGCTGCCACCGAGCCGACAGGTGCAGCCGCCCACACCGGCCCTGGGCCGGGTCCGCCACCAGCACAGCGCCCCCGCGCGCACCACCTGTCAGGCCGCCCCGCGCACCGCTGGCGGGGAACGCCACACCCTGCCGCTGAGGGGCGGCCGGCAGGGGCAGCCCGAAGGCCCGGGGGGATGAAAGCTTTACCGGAGGGTGGGCCCGACGCAGGCGGTGTCGGTGCTCTCGATCTCCTGCAAGATCCGCTCGTGCTCCGGGACGGTGCCCAGAGCCTCGGCGCTCTCCGCCATCTTGGCTGGAAGCGAAGGAGCCGGCGAGGCGCGGCACCGCGCGGACGGCGGGGACGAGCGGGCTGTGTCGTGAACGCGCGCGGGGGGGAGACGGGGGGATTGGGGCGGGGCGACAGGGAAGGCGGCACGGGGGCGCGGAGCGCAGGGCCAGGACGCGGGGGCGCGCGGAAGGAGGGGGGTGCGGGGGCGTACTGGTGCCTGCACCAGTGAGGGGTCAAGGTGCAGCGAAGTGAGACTGCTTAAGGTCGCTGCGCGACGTCGCCTCCGTTTCTCCCTCGCGACTGTCACTGGTTGTCATCCCCAGACATTCCTTTAGACCTTAATGTAAATTTTCAGGTGGCGTGCCCACACTGCTAAGCACTGGAGAGAAGCGCATTAATGAAGGAGGTGTGCAACCAAATAATCATCCCCAAGCAGCGTGTACTAAAAGCTATGAGAAAAAGTTGCAAATAGTAATACTATTTGACTCAACAATTCCACTTCTGGGAATTTACTAAAGAGACCATAACCTCCACCCAAGCAGATAAATGCACACCCATGTTTATTGCAGCTTTGTTCACAATAGGAAAGAGCTGGAAACAACCCAAGTACCCATCAACAAACGAATGGATAGTATGCTGCAATAGAATACTATGCTGCGTTGAAAAACAAGGAACTCATGAAATATTATACAAAATAGGTGACTCTGGAGGACATGCTGACTGAAATATCTCCGTCACAAATGGACAACTATTGCATCGGGCCGCTGTTGTAAAACAGGACTGATATCGGGGTTGAGGGAAGACAGAGAAGGAGGGGAGGAGTGATGTATACTGCATTGAAATAGATGAGGGATAGAACTGTTTAAAAGGGATATATGGGCATTATTTTCATGACAGGAGTTCAGAATGAAGGCTCCACAGTGGACTTGGGGGGATGGATTGCATAACAATGAAAAAGTTTTACTTTTCAAGGAGAAGAGTGAATTGGGGGCGAGGGGGTGGGCAGGGAGAAAAGTGCAACAATGAATGAATGGAAACTCTAAGTCTCCATAAACTTTCATTAAAATTAATTAAAAAAAATATAAAAGCTATGAGAACATTTAATCAGAGGGCCTGACGTAATCCAGAAAACCCTGTTGGGCACTTATTCTCCATCAGGTTGCAATGGATGGAAAATCGGCCAGATGACACCCAACAACAGCAATGTGCTGGGTGATGGGCTGTCAGGGATAGTAAAGGTGTACACAAGAATAGCAAAACTGTCAATAAATGGTAGATTTCTTTCACGAACAAACCAAGAAATTGACGGTCATGACAACCTGCTTTGACTGGATTCATTTACCCACCCTCCTGAAGTTCACAGGGACTTGTCAGCTCAGAAATAGATTGTAAGTGCAGAGGCACCATCCAAGAATAAATTAGAATGACTTTTGTAAGACAAAAGAAGTCACCAGGGGAAATATTCAGAGGTCCAAGGTATCATGTAGATTACACGCCAAAATCTTTGAACCCACTTAACTGTGGACTGGGGTTTGAGGAGCATGGGAACTCTGGGGCAGAGATAAACATCAAAGCTATGGGAGAGGCCATATAGCTTGGTAGTGTAGTTTTGTTTGATGACATGTTTGTAGGACATAGGAAACCAGTTTGTCATGATCAAAGCAGAGAATGAGGAAGGTTAATCAGGAACAAACCTAGCCTGAGGGACTATCCTGTTACCTCCATTAATCCCAGGCTCTCAGCCTCCCTCTGAGTCAACCAAACTCTTTACTATTCTTCCCTATAATTCACCCCGTTCTGTGAACTTTTGCTTGAAACTTGAATCCATTCTCTTCCTTGTTAAAAACCCTGGAAGGTGTGGAAGTCATATTGCATGAGAGTTAAGATAAACCTGCTCCACCTCATTCATAGCTAGATGATCCAAAAACCTAATCCCTCCCTATTTCAGGTTCCCCATTGTAACTGGGCAGGGTTTCGTTCTGTTGTACATAGGGTCTCTATGAGCTGGAGCCAACTCAACAGCGCCTTCCACCACCACATTATATTACTGGTCCAGTTTTCTATTGCTGTAATAAATGACTACAAATGTAATGGTTTGAACAATACAACTTTATTACCTCATGGCGTCCAACATTGCCCAACACTGCCTAGTGTCTATCTAGGCAAAACTGTGTTCCTCTCAGGCTGTAAGGGAGAATTTGTTCCCCTCTCTTTTTCAGCTTCCAGAGGCTACCTGAGTTCTTGGTTTGTATCTCCCTTCTTCAGTCTTCAAAGTCAGCAACATTGTATCTTTCTGACCATTCTTCTACAGATATATCTTCCACTAATTCTGACCCAAGTCAGGAAAGGTTCTCCACTTTTAAGGACTCATGTGATTAGGTTGAACTCATCTACGTAATCCAGAATAATTGACAAACTCAAAAACCTCAATGCAAAACCCATAATGCCATGTTAAGGAACACATCCACAGGTTCCAGAGATTAGGACAGAAACCTCCTTGGGGAGACTTTATTCTGTTTATTCACACTTCATAAGGACCCAGTAAGGTGTGTGACGTGTGTGTGTGTGTGTGTGTGTGTGTGTGTGTGTGTGTGTGTGTGTCTGTTTTTGGTGTCAGGTGCCATCAAGTCAACTATGACCATCTGAACCTTGCCTATCCTGTGCCATTCTCATCATCGCTGATATCCTTATATCCATTGATAACATCTCTGTTTCAGTCCATCTTTTTGAGGATCTTCCTCTCCTCTTCTGATTTTTTACCTTTCCAATCATGATGTCTTTTCCAAAGTCTGACTTCTCATAACATGTCCAAAATATATGAGAGGAGGTTTCACCACCCTTTGCCTCTTAAGGAGCACTCTGGCAGCATTTTCCCCAAGACATATATTTCACTCTGTTTGATTATTTAGAAGTTGCCCTGCCAACGCAAAGACAGGTGGTTCAAATCCACCAGCTACACCATGGGGGAAAGATGGTAATCTTCTTCAGTAGGATTTACAGCCTTTAAAAATCAGCTATCAGTTATCAGTTGGTTAGGACTGGACAGCACTATCAGTGTCCAGGACATATCCGTTTGGGCCAGCAATTCCTACTTAAATCAGACTAAGGCTTCAATGAGAGCAGCAGCAGCCAAGAACCAGCATGAGACAGAGCTGATCTGGGACTGCTACCCCACAGAGCCAGAGCCAAGGGTCTTTGCCCAACCTTGCTGGAGTACCGGGGGGAAGATGTCATAACTGGCAGAACTAAGAGAGTTTCATAGCACAAATTGAGAGCCTCAAGACTAATTTCGAGGAACTATGAGCACTCCTTAAAAGCTGCTCTGATGAAATAATTGTATCCTGTTTCCAACCTGAATCGTAACCTCTTAACTTCCCTAACAAACCCCATAATCCTGAGTTTTGCTTGTGAGTTCTTTGTGGCCATTTTAATGGATTAGTGGATCTAGCAGCAGAACAGCAAGAGCCCTGGGAGGGACAGTTGATATTAGACTTGTTAGAAGAAGGTATAGAAGCTTGGGACATGGCTGAACTCTCAGAATGAAACTTTATGTTGTAGATGTTATTACTGAAGACCATTCCCTCTTGTGGAGTTAGTAGAGTTATAAAAACACACACATACATATACATATAAAGTATCCAACTCATTGTCATGGAATCAGAACCGACTCATAGCTGACCCGCCAATGAGTTTTCAGAAGCTATAAATCCAATAGGAAGTGACTGTCAGTCTTTCACCCAAAGAGCCACTGGTCGATTCCAGCTGCTGGAGAACTGCTGCCTTTGGGTTAGCAGCACACCTCCGTGTGGGCCACACACACCTCCAGAGCTGCACATGCACACACAGGGTTTGTGGTCAGTGTTGTCAATCCAGAACCATCACTCATATTGTCTGGCATGTTGCTGTGATTCTGGAAGTTTCTACCAGTACTTCAAATCTGTGTAACCTTAAGTGATTTCAGTGGAGGTTTTAGACTAAGATGGACCAGTAAGCAGAAGTAGCTGTCCACTTCTGAAACAGTGGGTTGATGAAAGACAACAGAACTTTGTCTGACATTAGAAGATGCCAGAAGATTGGAAGTCACTCAGAATATGAGGGGGCAATAACTGCCTTCTAAAAGTTGAGTCTATGTAATGACAGGGATAGACTAAATAAAGCTTACAGCCAATGAATGGCCTTCATTTACTGATGTGGCAAGACACAAAATGAGGAGAAACAGCTGTAGACATCTATGAATAACTGGAACATAGAATATACAAAATGTGAATGCAGAAAAATTACAAGTTGTGTAAAATGGAATGGAATGCATAAAAATAGATATCCTAGACGTTAGGGAGATGAAATGGGAAAGTACTGGGCATTTTTCATCAGATAATCATATGATCTATGCTGGAAATGACAAACTAAAAAGGAATGCTGTTTCATTCATCATCTGAAGGAACATTTTAAGACCTGCCCTAAAGCATAATCCTATCAGTGATAGAATAAGATTGATACACACACAAGGAAGACCTGTGTCTTAGAGGAAAAGCATGGACAGTACTGTTGTTGTTAGATGCCATTGAGCCAACTACAATTCTCAGCAACAATGGATCTGAGCCCTGCCTACCGTGTGCCGTCCTCATCATCTCTGATGTGCTTGAGCCCATGGTTACAGTCATTGTTTCAATCCACTTCATTGAGGGTCTTCCTCTCTTTTACTGACCCTCCACCTTTCCCAGCGTGATAAACTTTTCCAAAGACCAGCCCCTCCTAACTTCATACCCAAAATATGTGAGACAAAGTTTTGCCCATCCTTGCCTCCAAGAAGTACCCTGGTTACTTCTTCCAAGACAGACTTGTCTGTTCTTTTGGCAATCCATGGAATTCTTGTCCAGAACCACAACTCAAAGGTGTCCATTCTTCTGTCATCCTTAGTCATTGTCCAACTTGCAGGTGCATAACAAGTAATGGATAAGACCATGACTTGAATTGGATGTATCTTAGTCTTTAAACTACCATCATTGCTCCTTAGCACCTTGGAGAGGTCTTTGACAGCAGATTTTACCCAATATGTCTTTTGATATCTTCAC